CTGGTCACAAGCTCCTTGGGCCTTCCTAGGGACATATCGCAGGTTTTCTTTTTGCATATTCAGTAGACACTGAGTGGGCTAGCGAGATGAAACATGAATAGGAGCAAAAGAACTTGCTCAATGTTGATGTAAAGGATAAGCATATTCACATCTATCTGTCCTCAATGAAATGAAAACCCTCATTTGATCAGAAATAGTGGTCAGTCTGAGAGTCAAGAATGGAAATACAGAGACCTGTCACAATGAGATTAAAAATGAAATGAAAGAAAAATAAAAACTGGAAGTCTAGAAGACTAGAAATTTTGCAACAGAAGTAGAAATAAATGGAGGGAAAGGGATAGTCTAAAGTTTTCCACAGTTACCCCTAAAATATTAAGTACCTGAGTGCTTAAGTACATTCCCATGATTGAAAGTATACCCACTCCATTTTAAATAAAATTTATCTAAGTTACTGTCATGAGTGGGTAGAGCTGGTACTACACTAGCAATGTCAGCTACCATGTGGAATGTACAAGTGGCATGTGGTGGTGAAGTGGAGCAAGAGGAACTCTCATACACTTGGTGAGAATATAAACTAGTATAATCATGGAGATAATTAAGGTGTTTCCTTGACATCTTAACAATACCTTATGATACAGATACTCTGCATTTGGTTGTATAGCCAAAAGAAAATATGAAATATGTATCAAAGATATATTATTATTTGCATTCTTCCCTACAGAGGGTCATGATTTTACATTAAAATTGAGGTGGAAAGGCAGAGGAAGTGATTTCCAACATATTGTATATGTGATGAATCGATGATGGAAAAATAATTCAAGTAGAATTACCATTCCCTCTTTCTCTCACAGGAATATTTCATGCAAAGTTCTTTGTATTTTTCACTCACTTGACCATTCTTAAGGCTTTTACAGCAGCAAATCTGTTTTTAAGATCTTAACAAAAATTGGTAATTACTTTGTATCCTCTTGTCTACCATTTTAGATTCATTTAACCTTGGTGTTTATGTCACAACTTTTTATAAGTATTATGTGCATCATGTAGAGGATCTGTTTACTGTTCTTGGCTCTTTGGAGTCTTGCTTGCTTGCTTGCCAGTACATAGATAAATGTGGAGCCACCTGAACGTGGTTTTCATTCAGTGTGGTAGTAGGGCACTTTTCAGTACTGTTACACTTTGCACCTACACAAGTTGTCACACTTAAAATACACTTGCATTGCCACTAATGTGTTTTCTCTTGTATGGATTCAAAGGAGGCTTGGAACTACATTTCTGTGTATTGAAATTGTATTACAGAGTTTGTCGTATTACAGATATTAAATAAATGTCAACTGAATGAATTCTGTGGCCTACAAACCATTTCTGGTCCTCAGATGGTGAGTTTGTTTTCTCAGATTAAAAAGACTACTGGTATTTTTAAAAAATTTCATTTGTTTTTAGCAGCAGGTGAATAAACTAATAGATGAAATTAACTAAACTCTGTATTTTTAAGTCATTGAGAAAACAAAATTGGCTTCTGTGAATCTCAATGGTTTTTCATCATTTATCATTCAAAATGAATAAATATTCATTCATTTATTTATAGTATCACTATTGCCAAAGATTGTAGACAGTAATTTATTTTTATTTTTATTTTTGTCAGCCATGGGACTTGAACTCTGGACCTGAGCACTGTCCCTCAATTTGAGCTACAGCGCCAGTTCCGGCTTTCTGGTGGTTTATTGCAGATAAGAGTTTCACGGAATTTCTTGCTCGAGCTGGCTTTGAACCATGATCCTCAGATCTCAGCCTCCTGAGTAGCTAGGATTACAAGCGTGAACCACCGGTGCCTGGCATAGGCAGTAATTTTTTTATTTATCCATAAATAAAAAGAAAAAAATTAAAAAAAATTCTTCTTGTCTTTTCATTTGAAATGGAAAACTTTCTCTTCATAGGAATATTTTGGCTAAGCAAAACTAAATAAATAAAAAGAATGAATTTTTAGATCTAGGAAATGATTGTCAGCAGCTGATACCACCAGGAAAAGAGAATTAGATAATAGTATCCTTAAAGGCAAGGAAGGGGAAAAGATAGTACCTATAATTTGTTTGCAAAAGAAAGTCAGGCCCCAGTAGCTCACCCCTATAATCCTAGTGACTCAGGAGCCTGAGCCCTGGAGGATTACAGTGCCATACCAGTATCAGAAAAAAAAAAGTCTGAATACTCTTATCTCCAACTAACCAGCTAAAAGCTGGGCCAAAAAAATAGCTCAAATGTTAGCGCACCAACAATGAGCAAGCATTGAGTTTATGAAATAAATACTATATTTTTCTATTTTAATTACTATTTACATTTAAATGCTAAATCTAATTATAATGCAGTACATTTGTAAAGTTCACCTGGAAAATGATTTTATGAGTACATTCTTGGAAATTAATAAAGCACATTTTTATGAATTAAACGTCCTTCATCTATTGCCTTTATTCATATGATACATGTGAGCGCTCAGGAAGATAGGGCACTAATTTAGAGGCAAAGCAGAACTTTAGTCAACTAATTAATTAACTTCAATTTACATAATGGTCTAATTATTTCATTCTAATAGACTGAGAATTGATTATAGGCCGTTAAATGTTATTAAAAAATAAAACTAAGTTGGGAATACATGGGCCTTTATTTCAAACTTTAAAAGAAGCAAAGGTCAGTCATGAAGGGTTAAAAACAATATTCAAAGTATCAGGCATTAAAAATCTGCCTGATGCATTTATGAGAGAATAATTTCAAAATATGTTAATTAATTGCACTTCATGCATATGCATACACAAAGAAGTGTAAGTGTGCTTAAGGTGAACTTATTTCCTATTATTTATACTTAATTTGCAATACTATTATTTTTATTTCATTTTTATATGGAAATAGTGTGTCTATAGTCCTATAATTCACAAGTATTTCTTTTAAGTGTTAAGTTCTTGAACCCAATATTTTGTAATTTTTTTTCTAAGCCTATTCACTTCCTTCAAATAAAGACAACTGTTAAATTTTAATTGGCTCTTCCATTTATATGTATTTGCATTGTCACACTATGTAATTTATAGCTAATCTAAGTATTGCATGCTTTTCTCCAACTCAGGTAATAAGTTGAAGAAGCCTGTATATGTTTTAAAAAATGATCAGTGTCTGTATTTTAAGGATTAGATAAAATAGAACTGGTTTACTATTTTGAAAGAGTGTAATTCTGACTAATGTGTTACCTCTAAGGATATTTTAATTCTTTTAATTTGAAGACACACCTTGGTGTCTTTAGCATACTTCTGTTGTGCATTTACAAGCAACTATACTAATTCTGTAAATAATTATGACACTTGTCTAATGCTAAACTGAGGGAGGAAATTTTAAACACATCTTCTATCTCTGAGTCCCATCTTTTCCTCTCTCATGTTAAGGTTTAAGTTCTTTATTTTTAATTTATTTTTTAATTTATAACTTTTTATGTTTTATTATAAAGGTGATGTACAGAGGGGTTACAGTTCCCTAAATCAGATAATGCGTACGTTTCTTTTTGAACAATGTCACTCCTTCCTTTGCTCTCTCCCAGATTTTCCCTCTTGTTCCTAACCACAAGTTATATAGTTCATTTTCATCACAGTGCCTAGTGAGTACCACTGCTGCATTTGTTCACCCTAAATACAAAATTCAATTGACAAGTGTTCTTTTTGTTGTTCCTCTCCCCTTCCAAGGACAATGAGTGGTATGCCATATTAAGATCCCACTGTGTTGTGTGAGTGCTTAACATGGTGTTTCCCCTTAACCGTGGATCTGTCTTTATGCTACTAAGTGTTAAATATGGTTTTCTAAAGTCTTCTAGGTATTTTTATTGAGATATTTTATTAGCATACATTAGTCTTACAAGGGATGTTTCATTGTGATATTTCCATATATAAAGAAAAGGCACTCTGATCAAATTACTTTTATTCTCTTCTTCATACCTCTTCCCCTTCTTATATTAAAATTAATTGCCCTCATTGTTCTATTTCCATACATTCACACAAAGTACTTTGACTATATTCACTCTTATGCTCTCCATTTATCTGTCCCCTTTCATTGGTACCCACCCCCCCAACATTCCTGTCATTCATTGTTTCAGTGTATATTACTTGTGACACAGACTTCTACCATGTATCTCCTGTGCAAATATTATATTTTAATAATATTAAGCCTTCAATTACTCCTACTTTTTTCATCTCTCCTAATCTCTTCTGGTTCAATTTCAAAATGTTTGCTGTAACTACCGTATGAGCTACTGTTACAGTGTAAAGAGAATTACCTCAATGGATGTAAAGAAAATCATTTGTCCCATTATTGGCAACAACCCTTAAAATCTGTGTCATAATGTTCACACTTCATTTTTTATATTTTCAAATAATACATCCATATTTAAGAAAGATTTATGCATCAAAATTTGAGGGCTTAATCACCAATTCTTCCTTCATTGATTTTTCTAGTCTGAAGTGTGACTGAAGCATTTCTTATCTTTAAAAAAATTGGGTATTAACTTTATTAACTTTATCTCCTGTATGAAGATTGATTATGCTGCTGTATTGAAATCATTAGTCAATGATGTCAAGATGATTTTTTTCCTCTGCTCTTAGGGAATATACAAGTACAAGAAATCACACTATTTGGACAATGTTTTGTGTCATACATCAATTACAGTGTTTCAGATGCTTCTCTAGGGCCTCACAGTGAAACTAAGAATAAGGTTTTTCATTTCATTTACAAAGATGATGACATTTTAACAATATTATATGCATAGTTTAGAAACGAGATATTATTGCCTTGACATTTGGGGCCTATGAAATCACTCCCAGCCTTGCTGTATATCAATTATTTAAATAACAATCATCACCTACTAATTGTCTTCTTGGCCTCTCCATGGAGAACTTTGTGTGTATATATGTTTCATTAGAAATTCAAAGAAACACCATACAGTTATTTTCGAACTCTGAAGTGCTCTAACTTACTCTTTGAAGGAACTCGGAGATTGGCAAGGACCACTTCCAGGGAATCAGCTTGAACACGAAGTACATAGCTTGTCTGTGTTTCATAATCCAGGGGAGCATTCACATAGATGACACCCGTGATGTTATTAATTCCGAATTTATCTAAAATTCAGAATACAATTCCTCATCATTTTCTTCACATACTGGGGAAAAAAATTCCTTAAAAAGCCTTATGGTTTAAAAGCATTAAAAATACTTAGTTATCACAATTATATAAAAAGGTAGCAAGGTTTTAGAAACTATGTTCTTTCCCTAAATGCTGTCTTGAAATTTTAGATTTTGTTAGGTGTTATTTTGACATTATTCAGAATGTCAATCCTCCTATATTCATTCATTTTGAAAGTACTACGTAGTTTGTTGACCTAGATAGGTTCAGATGGTTTACTGATCATATTAATGTTTCTTTCTTTTTTAAAAAAAGGAAATCCAGTTGATTTTGTCAACCAAACATTAAATGATCCCAATGACCTATGCCCACCTAATCTTTGATAAGGGAGCCAAAAATGTCAGCTAGAAGAAAGACAGCCTCTTCAACAAATAGTGCTGGCTGAATTGGCTATAGACATGTAGAAAACTGAAGTTAGATCCTTATATATCACCCTACACCAGAATCAGTTCCAAATAGATCAAACACCTTGAGGTAAGAGCAGATGCCCTGAAAAAAATTACAGGAAGGGAGAGGGGATACACTGGTTGAAACTTCCTAAATAAAGATCCAGAAACACAACAAATTAAAGGTTGGATAAATGGGATTGCATTAAATTTCAGAGCTTTTGTATGGCAAAGGGTATAGCGATCAAGATAAATAGAAAGCCCACTGAATCTTTACTAGCTATGCATTAAACAAGGGCCATATACCTAAAATATACTTAGAGCTAAAAAATATTAACAGCCCAAAATAAATCTTGAAAGAGACAACAATTCCATTAATAAGTGGGCAAAGAATTTAAGAGACTTCTCTTTAGAGGAAACAAGAATGGCCAGTAGACATATGAAGAAATGTTCAACATCACTGGCCATAAAAAATGCAAATGTAAACCACATTGAGATTCCACATCACCCCAGTTAGAATGGCCATTATCAAGAAAACAAATAATAACAGATGCTGCCAAGATTGTGCCAAAAGGGAACACTATTACACTACTGGTGGGAATCTAAACTGATTCAATCACTCTGGAAAGCAGTATGCAGGTTGCTCAAAAGACTAAACATAGAGCTCCCTTATGACCCAGCAGTCCCACTCCTGGGCATTTACCCAAATGATCACAAACAAGGTCATATTAAAGCTACCAGCACAACAATGTTCACTGTAGCATTATTTACTATAGTTAAGCTATGGAATAAACTCAGATGCCCTTCAGTAGATGAATGGATCAAGGAAATGTGGTATATATATGCAAAATGAAATTCTATGCTTCCATCAGAAAGAATGACATCACAGCCTGACTCTGGTGGCTCATGCCTGTAATCCTAGATATTCAGGAGGCTGAGATCTGAGGATCATGGTTCAAAGCTAGCATGAGCAGAAAAGTTCGTGAAACTCTTATCACCAATAAACCACCAGAAAACTGGAAGTGGTGCTGTGGCTCAAGTGGTAGAGAGCTAGCCTTGAGCTGAATTGCTGAAGGACAGTGCCCAGGTCCAGAATGTAAGCCTCATTAAAAAAAGAAAAGAAAAAGAAAAGAAATCACCCCATAAGGAAATGGAAAAACTTGGAAAAATCATATTAAGTGAAGTAAGCCAGACATAGGATCCATGGTTTCCCTCATGTGTATTAGTGTATGTCCGGGATAGTCCTAACAGGGGATCTCAATAGACCAATAGCTATGACTTTATAAACTGATGCTAATTGAAATGAACTCTAATATATGGAAATGAGGGATTTTTCTAATTGTTGTTTTGATTTCCTATTTTTTAGTGTACTGTTTTCTGTTATTTCTTATGGCTTTCTTTTATTTCTCCTTTGGTTTAGTCCCTATGGTCACTGTTTCTGATTCTGGTACCCTTTGTCTTGTATAGAAGTTTATCTGATTTGGGGAAAGAAACAGTGGGACAAAAGGTGGAACCAATGCAACAGTGATATGCACTAGACACTGGTGGAAATGAACTTTACAACTGGAAGGTCGATTTGGGAGGGAAGGAAGGAGGGAGAAAAAGGAGGAGGTAACACTGTTTGCAAAGAAATGTACTCATTACTGTACTTATGTGACTGTAACCCCTCTTTACATCACCTTTACAATAAAAGAAAATAAAAGAAATTCTAATTTCACTAGACATTATTCTTTTAAGACTTGATAACACTTTGCCAAGAAAATTAAAATTTAATATGTGAGTTATTTTAAAACATGTATTATTCTAAATATCTAAAAATATGTTGCTCCATTTTATAAATTATTATATTTCAATGAAAATAAGTATATATTGGTCAGCTTCATAATATCCCACATTCCCATTCCCTAAACCCTTATCTCATTTTTCCTGTCTAGGATTTCTTACATCCTAAACATTTTAGAGAAATTTATTTAACAATTTGATTGCCCATCTTCTCTTTCTAATTGCACTCTAATGTTTGAACCCAGGGAGCAGTACTTGCTAGATAAGGACTTGGGCCCTTAACCATTCCTCTAGCTCTTTTTGCTTTAGTTAATTACTCAGGTAAGGTATAATGCTCTTTTTTCCCCAAAACTGGCCTTGGACCAAGATGCTTTCATGCTTGTCTCCTACATAGCTAAGATTATAGCTGTGAATTGCCATACCTGTCCCTATCTATCTCCTCTTACAGAAGTCTTCACTTACATGAGCACAAGGATCTATATTGCTCATATTTTGTCTCTATAAGCTGGAAGCATCATTAGTACATGAAAGATGCCCAATAAATATGTGTTGAATGAATTAATCAATGTATTGGATGTAAAATACTTGCTATGGTTAAAGTTGATGAGAAATTGAACTTCATTGCTATCTTAATGGAAAAGAACAGTCAGTATCACACATGGAATTATTGGAATAGACTGAGACATTATTGCCCTAGTCAGGTACAGGAAGCCCAAGGGGGAAAAATGAAGTTCTGTTAACTTATGAAAGAGACAGAGAAGCACAGAATAAAATAAATAAGAAAAGCAAGATATTGAGCACTTGCTTTAGGAGCAGTAATTTTGAGTAATATTTGGTCATGGAAATATTTGAGAAAGGCTTTTATAATTTACTGGTAAACTTCAGAACAGGTTATTTGCTGATAACCTGCAATTTGTCAGACTACCTGGGTATTAAAAGAAAAAACAACAACAATGAATGACTAATAGATAATAGGTGGAAGAAAGAACTGAACTTTGGGCTTATTCCCAAAAGCTACAAAGTCACTAGCATTCTGATAATGTTTGGTCAGCAAAACACAACTGACCTGTTTATTTATGGTTACGACTAATGTGACTGGAAATTATTTTATAACAAATATGGATATTGATGTGTATGCCGCCCATTTGACACTGAAACATTCCTATATATCTAAATTTTCTTCAAAGTGAGGATGGCATAAGCTAGATAGATAGAACAGCTATCAGTGAGTCATCTGAAAGCACAATGTAATTTTTTTGAAAAATATCATTAAAACATCATCAAAGATAAGAAGGTAGAGGCTATTTCAATTCAGTACTTCTTAGAGACGATAACTTTAACATAACTAGATTATTGATCGTTACTGGTTAAATTTATCAATATGACATAGCTCTATTAGACAAAATAGGATAAGCAATCATTTGTGCTATATTTATCCTTATTCTAAGATTATAGGTTTAAAGTGAAAACACAAAGCAAACTTTCTACTCACCTTCTTCATTCCCAGAAACAATGGAGTAGACCACACTCTGGTTGATAGCTGCAGCAGAAATCACACCCACAATTGTTCCTCTGGCTGCAAGTTCACTTACAGGCGGAGGTCTGTAGGTATAGAGATAATGATGTTCTTATTTTATGATACCATTTCAAAGCAACATTAGGGTCACAGAAAACCCGAGGAAAATAAAATACATGAGAATTTCCTACTTATTTTCTTCGTTCATAGAAACACAGAGCATCCTGTATTAGGATTATCTTTCAGCTCAGTGGCACATTTGTGACAATTGAAGCCTCTCCAATAGACACATCCCACACAGTCCCTTAAAACTGTGCTTGACATTAGGCTTCACTTGTGGTGGAATACATTCTGTGTGTTTGGATAAATGCATTAGGACACATTCTCACTATGAAAGTATCACACAAATCATGTTTGTACTGCCCTAAAAATTCTCTTAGCTCCAAAGATTCCCTACCTCCCCACACTTAAACCCTGCCAACTACTGGCTCCTCATTTTTTACTCTGTCCCTATTCTTCTCCTTTTCAGGCCCTCATTCAGTTGGAAACGTGCAGTACCTTGCCTTGCCAGCTTCCTTTCACTTATCAAAATGCACATATTTTTTCCACTAAGTCTTTTTATGACTTAGTGCCTAGGTTTTTTTTTTCTTGGAATGTTGAATAAGATTCCATTGTTCAGATATACCACAGTATATTTTCATGATATCTTGATTGGTTCCAAGTTTGGGTAAGTATAATTAATGCTCAGAATTTTACTGTGTGAAATCATGAAGATGGCTTGGCTCCTGATGTGGAGAAACTTCCTGAATAGATAGATAGAGAGACAGAGAGATAGATAGGTAGATAGATAGAGATAGAGATATACTTTGTGCTTATACTAGGACTTGAACTCACAGATATTTTTTCTTTGCTTTTTGCTCAAAGCTGGCACTCTGCCAACTAAACTATACCCTCACTTCTGGCTTTTTGCTGGGAAATTGGAAGTAAGATCCCTTAGACTTTTCTTCTTGGTCTGGCTTTGGACTGTGATCCTCAGATCTCAGCTTTCTGAATAGGAAGAAACCACCAGTGCGCAACTGACGTTTAATGTTTTGATTCACCAAGTATATAGCAGTCCTCCTATACTTCATTAGATGACTATATTCAAGTGGAATATTGGAGTAATAAGTGTTAATTTATGCCAGCTAATTACTTGATACTCATTAAAATAGTTGGGTATAAGAAAACATGCTATGAATGGAGGAATGGTTCAAGTGCTAGACCACTAGCCCAACAAGAGTCCTGATCCCAGTATCAAGAAAAAAAAAGATGGATGCTAATCATATTCTGAGATACTTTAAAAAAAGAGTTTCTTTTTGTGGAATTAGATATTGCCTAAGTTGGATGCTAATCATATTTTGAGATACTTTAAAAAAAGAGTTTCTTTTCGCTGAATTAGATATTGCCTAAGTATTTTGACTATTTGGTTACTATGTAAGAACAAAGTAATTTTATATTCTCTGCAGTTATTCTGTTTTTCAGTTTTTATTAAATATGCAGACATGGTGCTTATGTTTAATCTGCCTTTAACTTTAACATTAGAACAATTCCATCTATTGTCAGTCACTGTGGGTCACTCCTATAATCTTAGGCGTTCAAAAGTCTGAGGTCTGAAGGACCATAGATTGGCTACACCCAGATAGAAAAAGTATCCTAGACTCAAACTCCAAAATAACCAGTAAGAATAGGGCTAGCCCAAATGGTAGAGCACCACCTATGAGCAAACTAGCTGAGGGAGAGTAAAGCACCAAGTTTAAATTTGAATACTAGAAGAAATGGAAGAAAGTGTTCATCTATTATTCAAATATTGAAAATAACATTTTTTATTTATCTACATTTAGTACATAACCAGCATGAAAATAGTATGGGAGAAAGCATGCAGCTCAATTTAAGTAGCAATTTAAATCTGATGGACACAACTAAAAGCATTTATAATTGTCTTTGTTAATAAATGTCTATAGTGATTTTACTTCTAGAAAAAAGTTGCACATTAACCTTTGTCTTAATTGTTCCAATATATTTCTTTATACTAGCATCAAACATAGTATAAAAATGTAATTTACTCCTGGCTAGAATTAAATGAACCTCTGTGACAACTGAGATTTAGATTACAAAAATCTCAATTACTTTCTATTTATTGATACACAGGACTTATTTTATTATTATTTTATGTCCTGGAAAGAATCAATTATGATATTAGGCAAAGTACACTGTCTTTGGAATCAGATAGAACTCAAATGAAAGAAGCAGGGGCTTGTGTAAATCATAAACCATGTAGTCATGTGGGCAGAGAAAGTAGACTCATTAGCCAATTTAATAACGGGGGTAGCATATGAATAAATATAGAAAAAGATGGAAGTAAGGGGTGGATGCAGTGTGACTGCTATGAAATAATAGAAATCCAATATGAGCTTTCCCAATTAACAAAGGGAATTTTTGATATCTATGAAAATGGATTTTATAAAGCATCAGGTGACTAAATTTGACTTACGATGTTTTACAGTAACATTTTTTCATCAGTTTTCCATTTCCAATATTTGTGATTGCAAAGTGATGCAATTCACCCTGTTTCTTTTCATAGAACACAATCAAAATGTTTTACTTAATCTGAAAAGTATTTTTATTCCATGTTAAAAAATGAAAACAATCTTTCACTATTAATTCATAGAGCTGCAATCATCTACTTACAACATGTAATACATCACTAGCCTTCTAATTTTCCAATATCCAATTAAAATCAAAGTGTTGAACTTTTCAAAGCTGAATATATCATAAATCTTCATAAAATAAGGGTAGTACTTGAAACAGATAAGTTGTATCTTTAAAAGACTGAAACCTTCAACACAAGAGAGAGAGAAAGAGACAGAGACAGAGTGAAACAAAAAGAGCCAGAGAGACAGAGAGAGACTGAGTGGAGGGGAAGAGAATGTATCATATTGTAAATGACTAGGAGTAGCCTTCATCAAAAACAGATTTATCAGTCATGGCCTGAGATGGAGGTGGGGTTTTGGGGCCCCTGAATTCTGAAATACCCCCCAAAGAGCTTCTGTTTCCATTACTTCCCACAAGCAACACTACATTTTTTTGGCCACTTTTACCCAACTTAACAGACCTTCACATATATTCTAAATTCACCTCAACTAATTCTTACACAAAAATCTAAATGATATGTCTAAGACAGAACACTGAGTGATAGATACTACATTTAAATTTATCCTTTTGTCACCATGTGTACAAATGATCTCTTGAAGGATTTTTTCCCCCTAAGTGGAAATTTAAAATAATCTGACCCATGTATCCCAAATACATTTTAACATCTAACCCCTGATAGTCACCATGCCTTTATGCTTTGATGAATTTAATTATTTTAGATTCTGTATAGAATAGATCTTTCGGTATTTGTCTGTGTCTGGCTAATTTCATTTAATATGATGCTACAAATGGCAGGATTCTTGGTTAGTGAAAAATATAATTCCACTATATGTGACACATTTTCTTTCTTTACCAACATAGATTCATTCCATATTTTGGTTCCTATGAGGAGTGCTGCAAGAAGGACCAATATTTCTTCATTTAAGCATAATTAAAATGCACAAATGATTTGAAAGTTATTTCTATAAAAAGTCATACAAATAATAGACGGAAAATACCATACATAGGCATTAGAAGTACTTTCCTTGATCACAAATTTATTTGAAAGGCAAATTTAAACCACAATGGGATGTCATCACACCAAACTTGGTAGGATAACTACTAAAAAAGTTGTATAACTCATGTATGAGTGTGTTTTGTCTTAGCCAGTGCAGACGGTAGGGCCATAGGTTGTCATGAGTGAAAGTGTTTGGACATTACCTGACAGCATATTGATGATTTTGCTATCATCTGTACAATGGAAATAATCTCTTAAAATTGACTATAAGGCCAGACACTGGTGATTCATGTGTGTAATCATAGCTTCTCAATAGAATGAGATCTGAGAAGCACAGTCAGAAACCAGCCCTGGTAACCAAGTCCGTGAGTCTCTTATCTGCAATTAACCACCAGAAAATCAGAAATGGAGCTGTGGCTCAAAGTGACAGAGTGCTAACCTCGAGCAAAAAGAGCTCAGGTATAGCCCTCAGGCTTAAGTTCAAGCCCCAAAACCAAGCAACGACCTCAACAAAAATTTGGCTGTCAGCGAATGTGTTTCACCATGACCCAGGTATCTCCTATTTTTTTTTTTTTTAAGTTTAAAGTTCATGCCTTCCTTCTCTTTAAGCCTTAGCCATACTTGTGTCTGTTCACTCTTTCTATTTTCTTTTTCATGAATGAAGCAGATGCAAACTTTTGAGGCTAGCATCTTCTTTCTCATTTTTTGTTGTTATTGTTTAGTTTTTGTTTTTTGCATACTTAGTTTCTTCTCTGGCATTTTATGATTTGATGTAATATTTTGCTTTCTTGTTGAATAATATTGAATTGTGTATCTTAAAATCCACCATTTTATCAGGAAGAAAAATCAGCTAAAAAGTGCAAATATATCATTTTACAATAAATCTTTGCAGATACATTATGAACCAAAAGAATTAATTGCTACATAAATTATCAGCCAAAAGTTTCCAATATTAATTTTTCTTCAGAAGATATAAATTATTTCAGCTATATATTTAAAATGTATGAATGGTTTTAAATATATAAGGTACAGTAATTCTTTTTTAAATAAATTTATTTTTATCGATCTGAGTCATCCCATTAATGACTCTTAAAACAACATAATTTGCAGTATCCAAAAATATTGACTCTGATTCTATGTTATAAATATAGATGAAGCAATTATTGTACAATTTACACTGTGCTTTTATTTTCTGGGTTCAAGAAGCAACAATAAAAGTAAATATTATACATGTTGTCTAAAGCTCCTAATTATTTTAAATGTCATGAGGTTTAGGATATAAAAGTGTTTGTAAATAGGTGCTATAAAATTACACTGAGATTCAATCTGGCTCTATTACTTTCTTTCTACAGAGAAACAAATCTAATTTATTTTGACGTGTTTAAATTCAATATATTT